TTTTTCAATGTCTGATCTTTAATTTTTCAGTTCAGATACTGGAATTTGTTTCCCAGAAATGATCACATTGTATGTGGGTATGAGAACTGACTCGACTAACCAAACTTCAAGCTGACATGAGCACCAAATGACAGTTTGTTAATTTATTATGGAAGAGAGACATTTTTAGTGATTGGAATACTTGGGTCCATCATCTACTGTATCTCCTTCTAGAATGAGGTATATGGAAAGCTGAAATAGTAATCAGAAAATGGAAATTTTAAGAGATGATTCAACTAGTCTATGGAAAGACTTGATATACTACCAGTGCCTGACAACAGAGGATATTTCTGTGGTGACCAGATGGTATGTCTGTTCACTTTTTCTTCTCAGGCCATGATGTTGATGACACTGCTTGAATCTGGATCTTTGAATTTTCTTTTGTAGATTTTTTTGTAAACTATCCTTCTCCCATTAATGTATTTCTGTAGGCAGAGAGCTATGTCTTGATTAGGCCTCAGTTTCCTTAGTTAGAGTTACATTGCTATCATGCTTCCCTGTTGAAATTTGCCTTGATGAAATTTGGGTATTTTGTTCGCTTGTTTTACTGTGTTGTTTTCATATTCTGGAAGAGCCTCACTTTACCCCATCTTCAAATTACTGCTATTGAGGTATAAGTTTAGAAATTAAAAATGATTTATTGAAATGAAGACATTCTTGGGATATGTTGAAATGGTTGGAAGAAGATCATTTGAGTAAATAATATAACAGTACTGGATAGAGCATGCATTTTGGAGTTAAACAGGTCCAAGTTCCATTTTTGACCAAGTCTGTGAATTTGGGCAAATTATTTAACCTGTCAAAGTTGCATTTCCCTCACTTCAAAAATAATCTTAATTATTTCCTCAAAAGTTTCTTGTTAGAACTAAAGGAGATAATGCATGTAAGTGATTATCATAGGCCTGGCATAAATAGGTGCACAACATATTTTTTTTAAAACTTACTCTGGGAAAGGTAGAGATGCTTTAGCCTAAGGCAGAAGTGGAGGTATCTTATAACTTCTTAGTGCTTTGATTGCTTCTGAAGCCTAAGGCTTAGTCAACAAATCATTCTAAGAAAGTAAAATCTATTAAAT